GGAGCGGAGCCCGGTGGAGCGCAGGGTGAGGTGTGGCACGCGCCCCGCACTGGGCGCCCTGAGCCAGGTCCAGCCACTTGCATGGGCCCTGCTCTCCGGGCCGGGCAGGGGCTCTGTGGGCCTCGCCCCAGCCGTGTCCTTCTGCCCCGACCCTGTGGTGACTTCCCCGCTCCTCGGCCCTTCCGCCTTGCCGCCTCCCTCACCCAGGACCCCCGCTGGGCCTCCTGTGAGCTGCGGACAGCAGAAACACCCCTCCAGCCAGCGCACCTCTCTCAGACCCCCAGGGCTAGCCGGGGATGGTGGATGTCAGATTACAGCGCTTTCAAGTAGAAGGGCCTGGTCCAGTCTCCCACGCCTTGCCAGGAGCAGCTCAGACTGGGCTTCTGGCCGAGCCCCCTGCCCTCCCGCACACGCCAGCGGGTTCAGGGATGACGCAGCTCAGCCGCTGGTTGTGGCCGCTAGAGCGAAAGTCCGTGGTGTCTGTAGGCGCCACCTGGGCGCGGCCTGCTGGGGTGAGCGGTCTGTGCCAGGACCAGACAGCGGCGGCAGAAGTGTGAGGCTGGGAGGAGGCTTGAGGGCCGTCATTGTGCGCGTGGGGGCTTTTCACCCACCTGCAGCGCGTTCTGTCATCCCGGAGATGCAGATGGCTGCGCAGGGACCTCCAGGGGGCGGAACTGGCCTGTCTGCAGCGACGGCGGGCAGGCAGGCAGCCTCATGGCAGGAGGCGTTGCCCACGGCCGGGTCTTGCCAGTGAGGTGACGCAGTGCACGTGGGATGAGCCGGTGGCTTCGCCTCCCAGCACCCCTCCACGCAGCCTCTGGGGCTCCTGGCATGAGCGGGGGCCATACTGGGCCGCCAGGCAGCAGCTGTCTGCAGACACGCCGGGAGCAAGCCCGTCTGAGACCGCGGTTCTGCGTCGGCACGTGGGCTTCCCAGGCCGCCACGGGCTCGCGGCATCTCAGCGGGCAGCGCCTGTGCCGCTCTGGCGGCAGCAATGACAGATGGGTGCTGGACTCGGTGGAGGCGGGCCCCCTCCAGGGAGGACAGGCCCTGCGTGGGCCCGGGCCTGTCTCGCGGCACGTGGGCCACCATCCCAGGCAACACCTCGCCAGTCACGCTCCCGGCCCGTCCTCTGGGTCTGCTCTCCCGCCACCCCTCCAGGGAGCCCCTCCACGCCCCGATGGCCTTTAACCCACCCTGTGCCGTGTCCCTCCAGGTGTCGCAGGCGGCCTCAGACCTCCTGGCGTACTGCGAGGCCCACGTGCGGGAAGACCCCCTCATCGTCCCGGTGCCTGCGTCCGAAAACCCCTTCCGAGAGAAGAAGTTCTTGTGCACCATACTCTGACTCCGTCCTCCCAAAAGCGCCTGCTCCTCCAGCACCGAAACCCCTGCCAGCGACAGTGCATGCTCTTGGTTTGGGGGCGCCCTCGCCAGACAGCCGGGCTGGCCTCGTGGTTTTCACTGGCTCCCCACGTCGCCTTTAATCTCACTTCGCTCTCCTGTTGCACTCACCACCGGCAAAGCAGCTAGACAGAACCAAATTACGGACGTGCCCAGTGGACTGGGTATGAATCTGAGGGTTTGAAAGCCCAAACACCGTCCCCGAGTCTGTCTGCATCAACCCTGAAACTGCGTCAGTGGATTACTTTACTGAAAAGCTCACACCGAGAACCCCCTTTGCGGCAGGGCAGGACCAGGCAGAGCCTCCCCCGCTGGGGCGGGTCCCCCAATCCTCGCCTCCCGCGAGGGAGCGGCCTGGACGCTCTGCGGCCTGCCTTGCGTCCTCCTTTCAAAGGCGGCAAGGAGCCGGCGCGGCCGGTGGGAGGTTCCTCACTGTGCGCCCCGGCCTTGTGGCCCGCGTCCATGGCCGCCGCTGGCCGGGGTCCCCCCACCCCGCTGGAGCTGGCCCTGCTGCAGGTGAAACCCCAGGGGCATCCCGCCACACCCCTCTTCCTGCGCCCTCCTCTTTGGCGCCTGCCCTGTCTTCAGCACAGCAGTGGGCGCGTGGGGACGCCCGGGGCCCCAGAGGCGGGCGCCTGGGCATACAGCTCTCTGCATGCCCGCTGCCGCCTTGAGCTGGAGCCTGTTCCCTTACGGGCTTCCGGGAGCAGAGCGTGCACGCATCTTCTACAAGGAGGGAAACTGAGGCCCTGGGCCATTGCGATATTCCTCCGAGGCTGTAGACACTGGGCAGGGAGACAGGTGGCGGGCAGGCCCTCCCGGAGCCCCGGCCACCTGCCTCCCAGGGCACCCGTGTGCGAGGGCCGGGGGCCGTGGCAAGGCCTCCCCAGCCTGCCTGAGCTCCTGTGGCCCAGTCCTCGTGCTCGCCACCGCGGGGATGCGGCGCCTCCGTCGCTCTGCAGCACACCCGCAGGCCCGCCTAAGAGGGTGCCGCTGGTGAAGGCAGAGGTGGGGCAGAGGCTCTAACCGGTCCCCTGTCTGGACTGCCCGGCCCCTCCGACAGCTGCCTGCCGTATCATCAGGGCCAGTGCTGTGTGCTGGACCCCAGAGCCTGCAAAGGGGGTCACCATACCTGCCCCCCCCCCTCGCTTTTGCAGTTGGGTGATAGAGGTGACGGCAGAGCTGTGGCTGCCAAGAAGACAGATGCTTGCTCGATGCCACACAGGGTCCCTGGGCCTCCTCAGAGGGGCGGGATCAGGCGGAGGGGTGTGGGACTGCCGCCCAGGGGCATGCACACCACAGGTCCAGCCTTGCCCCTTGCCTGCGGTTTCTGCCACCCTCGCTGGGCTCTCCCGGTACCGCGCTGGTGCTGGGCAGCAGAGCTGAAAGGCTCCAACCTCCGTTGGGGTCTGTGATCAGGGCTCTTGTCTCCATGCCAACACTGCTCACCTGATAAAGCACAAGCTGTACAAGCACTCCAGAGACAAGCACCCAGAGACCAGCACCCCAGAGACAACAGCATCCCGGAGACCAGCACCCTAGAGACCAGCACCCCGGGAACCAGCACCCCAGAGATCAGTGCCCCGGGGGACCAGCACCCTGGAGATTAGCACCCCACAGACAAGCACCCCGGAGACCAGCACTCCAGGGACTATTTTCCAGAGACCAGCACCCCGGAGATCAGCGCCCTGGGAAGCAGCACCCCAGAGACCAGCATCCTGGAGATCAGCGCCCCGAGGAGCTGAGCAGTGAGCGACGGGGAGCCCCTCCTCCAGCCCCGCAGCTGCGCCCCCCCTTGCCTCTCCCGCCTCCCGCCTCCTCCCTGCCTCTCCCCGTGTTCCCCGGGAGCAGGGTCACTTCAGTTTGTCTTCCAGACTGGCGTCTCGGGGTCACCGCCCAGGTGCTCTGCGTCGCCTGCTCCCTGCTCGGCTGGGAAGTAACCAGTGAGGGGGTCTGCTCAGGCTCCCCTACGGGGGACTGTGAGCCCAGAACAAGGGACCTGGGGGTGAAGGGATGGTGAGGTGCGCCCCGGGGAGGGCAGCGGGCTGAGCCCCAGGCGGCTGCAAGTGCGGGGTGCTGGCAGCCCCCACGGCCCCGGGGGCGGGGACCTGGGCCCACCCCTCCAGCCTTTCCCCGCGCCCTCACGGCCCACGCACCGCCTAGGCCTCCTTTCTAGATTTCACTCCACGCCTGGAGCTTGCAAGTTTTTTATCCCATGAGAAGGCCTGGATGGAAGGGCCGTCGTTTGCCGCCATGACTCCACCCCTAGGTGCTCGCCCAGCAGAAGTGGACAGGGCTAGCCCACCAGGAAAACGACGAGAACGTCGGCGGAAAGTGTTCATAAAAAGCCAGCCTGGTGGCAGCACCCAAATACCCACACTGGATGCATCAGTCAGGGCACAGGCAGCCGGTGGGCCCTGGACGGCAGCGCGAGTGGGTCCGCCAGCAACTGTGTCACGCCCACACCCAGCACCGCGACGCTGTGCTGTTGCAGGTACAGCCACGACCGACCGGGTGGCGGGCACAGGGGTTTGGGGGCGCCTGGGCCTGTCACGCGAGCTCCTCTCTGCACCCCTCTGCACCCCTCCTGCCTGCACTGCGCCTCAATAAACCCTGGCTTTGCGGCTAGCAGAATCGGTTACGTTTTCTTTTCCGGCACTTCCATCAGATTTTTACTTCGTGTTGGTAGCTGGCCCCTGGGTGTTTGCGCGTGTATCTGCCCGGACCTGGGAACGCAGAGCCCCCAGCCTGCGGCTGCGGGGCCAGAGCAGGGATGCCCCTGCCCTGCCCTACTCCCTGCTTGGGGCTCGGCCGCGGTTGCGTCCTTTGGGATGGGAGTAGGAGTCACACCGGGTGTGACCTGTGCAGGTGACACTCCCAGCTGCAGACCTTCCCGCCGCAGGATGAAAGCCTTCTGCGCTGCGACGGCACTGAGGTGCGGTGGCCCCTCAGGGCTGCACCCAACCCTCACCATGGCCGCTGCCTTCCTCAGCACGCTGCCAGGTGAGGCCCAGGTCACTGCGGAGTGGCCGCCCTGGCCTCCTGGACAGGAGCCAAAGGTTTCCCCTTTGATTCTGAGCCCGGCACCCCCAACTCAACAGCAGCTCCCCTCCAGCAGCCAGGCGAGGAAGCAGCCTGGGGCCTGAGGGTTTTATTTGGCGACCTCAGATCTGGGACGAGGACGAGACATGAGACGGAGCTCGGGCACCCGCCCTGGGGAGGGTCCTGCTCCCTGAGCCTGGTGCAGAGCTGAGGGTCACGGAGTCCTCACGACCGAGCTGTAAGTCTCCTCGCCCTCGCGGTGCGTGTTACTCACATGCACACGCCAAAGTCAGTGCAAAGTGTATAGCTGCGCCCTGTACATGAAGCCCCTGGACTCCTCCCCGTCTGTCCTCACCTCCCGCAGCCACGCTGGGTACTGCTGGGTACTGGGAGTCTGAGAGCCAGGAGGGCCTCACGGCCTACGCAAAGCGTCCAGGACCCCCGAAGCACAGTGTGGGCCTCATGGTGGAGGGGCTGCCCTTGCTGCGCAAGGGCCATCGAGTGCCTGTGCGCTGTGAACGGCCCTGAGCCGCGCTGACCGGCGATCTCCTGAGCCGATGGCAGAAGAGCCTACGAGGAACAGAGCACCGTCGCGGAAGCAGCAGCTGAGCTCGCTGGCCATGGCTGTCATTTGCAACAGGGTGTTGAAGCGTCTCTGCGAGAAGCGCGGCCTCCAGCCGGCAGGTTGTGCGAGGCCAGGTCTTCTCGCGTTTCTCTCCTGGTCACTGGGTCACAGTCTTATCTCTTACTTGAAAGTTTTACATTTTTTTCATTTTATTTTTTGCTTTAAGTTAAATTAGCCTTCATTCAGCTCTCCCTTAAACAGCCGCTGGAGCAGCCCAGAGGAAGGCCAGCGCGTCCCAGGTGGCATCAGCACAGTGCTGTGCCGCCTGCGTCCATGAGACCTACTTTTCGATCACTTCACTTAGTTCATCTCAACCCGGACTGGCCTTGGAGAAGCATGGAGCCATGGGGGCACATCCGGCTTCGGCTAAAATCCAGTAGGAAGGAGAAACGTGAGCGGAAAGGCAGGCCCCCGCCCGCCCTGGTGGACACGCAGGATCGAACAGGAGGTGTCCCTCCGGGCCAGGCACAGTCTGCAGACAGCGAGGCTCAGAAATCCAGCAGCTTCTCTGAAGCTACAACTCTAATACGTGACAGAATTAGGATGTCAAACCGGCTCTTCTGCCTTCCTGAGAAATCCGGATTCTGTTGGGTGAGATGAGGTTGCCTAGTACCTCAGATCTCATCGTCACCGCAAGGAGCTACGACATGTTTTGTATCCAACACCGCCGCATTGGGGAGAGAAATGTTCGCCTCAAGAGATTGTACCAGTGTTTTCGTGTGTGTTCTGACGCTGCTCTCAGAGAAGAAACTCACTCTAATATCTGTGCCATCTGCGCATGAACCCAGCGAATAATTAACCACTTGGAATTATCCTTTTATCTTGTAAGATCAAAATATCACCCTGTCACCTGGCCTTAAACCTCCATAGGACATTCTCACAGAGTTAATAGCCTGTCTTAGGAACTAACGCCATCTGCTGTGCAGCACTTGAAATTCACTCCGTGGGCTCCGCAGCTTAGCACCAGGATGTTGGTCAGAAAACTGACCAATACAGCAATACTGTATCTTAGGCAGTTACAAAACAGTGTTGATCTTTAACCTAAGCAAAAGACATCAGTGTTAGAGAAACTTGTTTTTCTTTACTCTCCTTAAGCAAGATTCATCATAGCTCAAGGTACAGACTGAGCAAGAAAAAACAAGATGAAAAAGTCAGAGCGAGATGGGAACAGACCAATCTCTTCCAACCTGCTTAACACAAATCACTCTTAACAGGATCAAGGTATGGAATTTTGCAATTTAAAAAAAAAATTCTTATTTATTTATGCACACCAGAGCTGGGGTGCAGGCCAGAGGTGCGGGGGTGGGGGGATGAGAGGACACCCCAGAGACAGAGTGGGGAGCAGAACAGGTGGATCCCCTGAGACACACTGCTGAGGGAGCAGTAGGGACATGGGGTCTTATGTGCCCTGTGGGTCACTCCCTGGTCGGGGATGGGCTCGTGCAGTGTCTGGCGGGAGATAGCGTGATAAGGCTGGTCTTTAACCTCTGCACCACCAGGGAGGCCCCAGATCTGAGCTTTGAATTCAGATCTATCTGATGGGTCTGCAGGGAACATTCTAATTGTTTTTTCTCCTACAAAGTTCTATGAATTTTAATTTGTACGACTTTAGATTCTGCCAAGATTGCCTGAATATTGTGTGTTCTTTCATTTTACCATGCTGAACTTCTGAAACTTTTACTCTTTGGACACCTCTAGTCTTGGCTTTGAGAACAGGAAGTCTGATGTCATTTGGAACAGTTTGTAAAAAATTATCATTTTTACTAGCAAGGTCCCCAGATCTATTGAAATCACCTGACTATAATGTTCTCTATACAAACAAGAAATGTGTGCTGGGCCCTCCCTGGAGGCGCAGGGGGTTAGGACGCAGCAGTGCAGGCCAGGAGGTGACCCCAGGGCTCTGCAGACCCCTCCTGTCTCCCCACTGCCCCCTCAGCAGTGGATTTCAGTAGGTTGGCCTGTTCTGCTCCCGGCTCTCCCTCTGGTGAAGCTTCTCACCCCCTGCGCCTCTGGCCTGTACCCCAGCTCTGTGTGCAGAAATAAATATTTACAAAAAATTTGTGTTTATGGCAATTCATGTCCTGACACCAAAGAGGTGAAATCACAGAAATTATCTGTGAGGAAAAGTTCACATCGTAAAGGTAAATGACTGTGCTGAAACGCTATAATCGTGCCAGCAGCATTTCCTCCCCACGGGCACCCGACCACGTGGAACTGGACTCTCCCCAGGGGCTCCTTATTGCCAGCCGGTCAGTGGCCAGGCGCGAGCTGTGTGAGGCCCAGAGCCAGACGGAGGTGGGGGGCCCCAGGGCGCCTCGTCAGCCTAAGCCAGATGTGAGAGGGCCCGGCCGCCTGCACCCACTTGTCCACCACCGCCAGGGCGGCCCCCAGCGCGGCCATCTCCGCACACGCGCCGGGGCTTGTCCTCGGCCCTCACTCGGCGGCCTTGGCGCGGCGCCAGCGCTGCCCAGGTC